TCTAGTTTAGATGCAGAATTGATTATTGACATTTTCTAAGAGCATAAGAGTCTTTCCCACATTTTTGTGATATTTTGTTTTAAGAAGTTTTTTTCGTTGTATAATTCAGCCAAAGGTAATGAAAGTACATATATTCCATTTAAAATAAGTTAATTCATTATCAATTTTTTCAATAATAGTTAATTCATTATGATTAATTCAATATCTTTTCTTTATTTCCTAATTATATTACTCTTTCATTATTTTCTAGAAATTTTCATAAACGAAAGTTAAATTTTCTAACTATTACTAAAAGTAATTATATAAGATATTCTTTTTAACACATGTTTGAGTCTCATGGAATGGAAACTTTTTATAAAGTCTAATTTTAAAAGTATTACTCTTAAATATGTTAATTTATAAGAAAGCTTAAAACTTAATTAAAATTATTCAAAATGCAAAATATATATATAGCAAAAAAATCATAAAAAGTCATTAACTAATTGAAATTAAGAAAAAGAACACTATTATATGGTAAAGAACTATTTATATGCATTAACAAAAAATATATATATGAACATAAGCTCTCTTCAAATCTGTCTTAGTTACATTCCAAAATCATTTTCAGTTAAATAACCTAGTACGATGGAGAATCTGGATTTGGAACTGACTCTAGGCCAACCTAATCCATGGATTATCACAAAAACACTGAATTATATCGATCTTAGTTGCAATCAGGGGCGGAGGCAGCTTGGTGAAGGAGGGGGCAACTGCCCCATGATTTTATGAAAATTAGTGTATAATTTAAGGAATTTTGATTATGCCCCATTGAGATTTTAATTTATGCCCCCATTCTTTTGATTATTTAGCCCAAATGATAAAAGAAAAAAAAATAACTAGTTTAAAGTATGAAACTTTAGCCAATAACATAATGAAAATCAATGTTTAAAGTAACTAAAAACCATAAATTACTATTAATCATTGTTAGTTTTCTAACAATTTATGTTTCTTTTCACATTATTTAGAAG